GTCTTTTTCAAAGTGAGCATAGTTTTTTATAGCCAAATTTAATTGCCCTATTTAACTTTTTCATTTCTAACTATGATGAATAAAAAATCACAGATTCAATGAAGAAGGCATTTGAACAAACACCATATAAAGATGATCTTGGTGTCTTACAGCATTTTGAAAAACATATTGATGATTGTGCAGACAAATGGAAAGGAGCTCAGCATAATGTTTATTATGCGCCGTATACTGTTCTCTTCCAAGGATCTGGGACTGGAAAGTCTAGACTTCTTTATCAGCTTGCACAAAATCGCTTTGTTTTATATTTGTCCTTTCGTGAGCATTCTAGCTCAGGAATTCCACCAGCAACAGACCTTTTTCGCAATTACTTTCTCATAATCAAGGGAAATGCAATGGTTAATGCAGTGGCATTTTTCTATAGCTGCATGGAATTTATTGGTGAAAAGACCATTGAAGATTGGAATCGTCAACAGCACTCTGACAAATTTGAATTAGACATTGTAAACAGAGCTTCACATTTAGTAGAATGCTGGAAAGATAGTTTAAGTCAGGTAGAGAATCAAGAAGCTGTGGAATGGTTTTGTACAAAAGAAATTGCAAGAGTTTGGGGAAAAGTTGAAACCCATTTATCAAATACTGTTAAAACAAAAGCAAAACTTGTATTTGCATTTGATGAATCACGATCTTTGCTACAGATATCAGGAGAAAATATACAGTTTATTCACATTTGCCGAGCCTTACGTTGTCTTCCTTCAGGAATTTTTGCCATATTTGCTGATACCATTTCAAACCTCACTAATTTTGCACCATCAGCATCTTTGGATCCTTCAGCTCGATTATATTTACGTCAGAATAAACTTTTCCCACCATTTTATTTTATGGCTACATTTGATTTATTTACTAAAACAAACTCAAGTTCAAATCAATTATTAAGCTTACAAGAACTGTTTGCACTTGGACGACCTTTATGGGGTGCAGCTTTGAACAATGATGCCAATATCAATGACCTTTTGAATCTGGCAGAGCAAAAACTTTTAGGTGGAGGTATAACAATGGGTGATTGGCTTAAAAAACCAACCTTCTCTTCTGCCCTTGCTGTTTTATGTTCCCGTATCACACTTGATGTAGCAGCTGAGTCACGTATTGCTTCAGAACTAGTTTCTGGATTCATGGGGATATGTGTTCATGTTTCGGAGGATCGAAGTCGACTATTGGTATTCTATCCATCTGAACCAATAGTTGCTGAGGCTGCTGCATCACTTATGCGACATGACAATGTGTTCAGAAAATTACTCAACTTTTTACTGGATGCACTACATACTGGGTATGTGGAACCTGGTTATCGTGGGGAATTGGTTGCCCGTCTACTTTTGATGATTGCTTGGGATCAAGCTACTGGAAGTAGAGGATCATTATCATCATCATCACCAATGTCATTACACTTGAAAAACTTGGGATACATGAGAGAGTTTGTTTCACAACCAATTAGAGTGAAGGATTTCTTGACATCTCTTTTTGGCCAGGATAACTATAACAATAATATTCAAGACCTCCCCCAAAAGCTTGCAGATGGCTTACTTGCATTTACACATTTTATTCCACTTACTTACACCCCAACCCAGATAGAATTGAAGAGTTTATTCATTCGTTTTGCAGCTGTTATATGTAAGCGTAACCAAGCAGGAGTTGACTTGATACTTCCAGTTCTGTTGGATTGGGATGGATCTAATACTATATCACTTGATTCAATGTCTTACTTTCTGATCCAAATCAAGAATTGGAATCAGTTTTATGATGATGATTGGCCTGCTTTGGCTACAAGTAAACTCTCACAAGAATATGTCTTCAAAGGCAGGATTACAGGGGAAAAAGGCAACCCATACTTATCTTTATATCTTCAACTTGGTGCTCCAATACCAGAATTGCGATCACTCCATGTTGAAAACTTGCCAAGCTCAAACACAAGATCAAAAAAGAGGGCACAACTTAAAGAATATGGGAAACAATATTGTCTATCTGCATTTGGGTTGGATAAGTCTGTATATCATTGTTTGGACAAATGGAGTGATGATGATATTGGTATATTGAAACAGCTCTTGCATGCATGGCCTGATCCTGTGAATCTGACCACACATGAAGATGTTAAATTATTAATAAAATCAATGATGCCACTTGTGTATCAGGAAGACAGGGGCATCTAAGGCCTAAAATGATTATTTCTTTATTCATCATACATGAATGGTTCAATACAAAAAATTATAATTTCACAAGTTGTGTAATATTGCTTGTTGCTAAAATAACTACAAATTGATAAATATATTTATATTTATATGAAGGATG